ATCGAGTCGGGCCATGAATGTGTCCGCGAGGTCCACTTGGTTTTCACCACTCGGAAAGCTCCTCGTGACCTCGGGATTTACCACCTTGGCAAGCACAGGGCTGCCCTTACATTTAAGTCCCATAGACCTGGTCACCGCGCACGCAGGGTACACAACATTATCCTCTGCGGCGGGTGGATCCAGGCAAACCTTAGGGGTAGGCAACATAATAGGCAGTCTGGAGTCCCCTACCTTATCCCCTGCTAAATCATTACCAACTATTACATCAACATTAGGGAAAGGTAGGTATGAAGTGACTCCGACTGTACAAACACCCTTGTGGAAATCAGATTCCAGGGTAACCTTATGGAGGGGTACTGCCCGAGTATCACTAGTGACACCCTCGACCAGTACCACCTCTCCAGTGTCGAGAGTGTTGGCACCTTGCAACGCACTCTCTAAAATTAAAGTCTGGATGGCACCGGTGTCTCGGAAGATCACCACGTCCTTCCAGGAAGAACCCTCAGACAAAAGTAGTCTCCCTTTCAATAAGAATGGGGTAAGCAAGTCCAACCACTGTGGGTTGGAGGTCTTACTCCCTAACCCTTCTGAAAGCCTCAAGCCCTGTGTCACAACTAGAGCATTGGGTCTTTTTTCTGGGTGCAGTTGCCAACAACGGCTAATAGTGTGGTTTGGACGATTACAGTGACCACAAAAACGTCGGGGAGAAGAGACATTACTAACAGAATTACCCTTCGGTTCACCCTTAGGTGCCGTGGAGCTAGACACTTTAACAGGGTTAGTTATGTCTGAAACAGAAGGTGCATTAGGTAAAGGGTTAGAATGAGCTGGTCTGGACTGGCTGTGGGTATAAGTTTTGCTACTCTGTGGGGTATAATTATTTTTATTGGGCCTTTTGCCCGCCAATTGGTAGTTTTCTGCCAACTTGGCCAAATCCCCTATTTTAGAATTTAACTCTATCCTTCCTTTAATGTACTGTGAAACATTCTCTGGCATAATATCTATAAAATGCTCCATTAAAACTAAGTTCCTGAGAGCCTCGTATGTTTCGGCTTTCGCCGAGCGAATCCATCTATCAAACAATCGAATTTGATCATTCACAAATTCAGTGAGCGGTTGGTTGTGAGTAGGCCTAAGGTTACGATAAACTTGGCGGTGAGCTTCAGGAGTAATTTCATATGCCCGCAAAATACATTCCCTGACTTTATCATATTCGAAACACTCGTCTTCAGGCATGTTTATAAAAATATCTTGTGCTTTACCCCTAAGTCTTCCCTGTAGGATTTTCACCCACTCTTCCTTTGGCCAGTTCATGGACGTGGCCAATCTCTGAAAATGGTTGAAAAACCTTTCAGGGTCAGACTCGGAAAATTCAGGCAAATTATGCTTTTTCTCATAATGCCTGGGGTTTGAATCCCCGGCAGGTGGAGTTCCAGTGGCATTCGCTCTAATTTTAGCCTCCTCGGTTTTGAGTCTTTGCTCCTCTAATTTTATTTTTGCTAACTCTAAAGCTAATTCTCTCTCCCTATGAGTTGCACTTTCTGCTTGGCTAGGCTGGCATAAAGGTGTATCACTTGCCAATAGTTCTTCATCAATACAATGTTGTAATATTTCATTCACCAAAGTCCACTTTTTATCTGCGACATTTAATTCTAGGCCAAATTCCTGGCCTAACAATACTAAATTAGACTTTTTAAGTTTCTTTATCTCTACCACTGAAGGCTCCCTTGCCAGTTTCTGCATTTCAGAAGACATCACTAATAATTTTAGCTCCCAGCCAAAGAAAAAATTAAAAAATCAAAATTGGAAAAAAAAACAAAAATTTGCACGGCCCCTAACACAAGGCCACACTAACCTTAATCGTGAAGGGATCCAGCTGGGTGTCCAGTCAGTGCAAAAATGTCCTTTGCTAGATGAGCTGGACCCTAGGCTAGCACACAACCGTTCTGCGGAAAACAAAAATTTTTAATTTTGGCACTCAAGAATCTAATTTTTTACACTTATAATATTCCTCCCGGACTGGCCAACCACTTGTTACATAAATAGATGTGGGGACTATGGGGTTCTGGTAATATTAAGGGGTAAGGGTAGTTAGAAGACAAGAGTATCAAATATGGGAGAGCTAAAAGGCCCGGCCCCCAAAATAAACTATCCACAGTAGTAATAACTTGCTACAAGACCATATATGTTAGTCTAAGGATTGATCAATGCGCTCCCACACTGGAAGAAGAGATACTCTGTAATTCATGTACTTATTTATTAACCCCTTAACAACCCCCCATATACACTCACACCAATAACAATAATAATAACTTTACCACACTATCTTACGTTAAAAGCCTTGGTCCACATAGGCAGGATACAAGGTTACACTAATAACAAGCTAGGGTAAAGTACTACTGGATAAGCGCTGAAGCTGGATGCAGCTTAGGGTAGTGAGACCATGTGGTACCCTAATACAAAACACAACACTTAGGGGTAAACAAAACACTGGCAAATACTAACCCCAGGTCTCACCAATATTTACTACCAGAGTAGGTTCACTTAATAATGCCCCGTACTTAACTTAAGGATACAGGAACTTCAGGTAAGGGAAATAAGTAAGAGGAGAAGGGAGAAGAGTAGGGGTGCAGCCACAGAGTAGGTCTTATCCGCACGACACCAGCCAGAGAAGAGAGAGCTCCTCGCGACCACCTGGCCTCCCTCATGTCGTGGTGCCGGAAGGAGCCTAATTGATCGTGCAGCTAAGCACATTAAAGATCTTCCCCTATGCAACGTATTGTTACTTTATGAATGATTAGAAGGTATTAGTAAGCAAAGTTGGTGCCTATGTTATTATTTAATAATCAACCCCCAGCTCAGTCTTTAAATGCTCTTTGAGAAACAATAATAGTCTTACGTCTGGCAGGGAAGATACAAACAATTGCCATTCGAGATGCACTTCTGTACTACTAGGAAGTTTAATAGCTCAATTTTGACCTCTGGTTTCCACTGGAGAACCCAGGGTCGTAACAGGCAGATAAAGGAACATAAGAATAAAGGTAACTGCAGAAGGCCTATTGGCCCATACGAGGCAGCTCCTATCTATAACCACCCAATCCCACTCATATACTTGTCCAACCTGTGCTTGAAACAATAGAGGGACCCCACCTCCACCACGTTACGCGGCAATTGGTTCCACAAATCAACAACCCTGTTACTGAACCAGTATTTACCCAAGTCTTTCCTAAATCTAAACTTATCCAATTTATACCCATTGTTTCGTGTTCTGTCTTGTGTTGATATTTTTAATACCCTATTAATATCCCCCCTGTTATGTCCATTCATCCACTTGTAAACCTCTATCATGTCACCCCTAACTCTTTGCCTTTCCAGTGAATGCAACTTAAGCTTTGTTAATCTTTCTTCATATGAAAGATTTCTAATTTGGGGAATTAACTTAGTCATCCTACGTTGGACACATTCAAGTGAATTTATATCCATTCTATAATACGGCGACCAAAACTGAACTGCATAATTTAAATGGGGCCTAACCAGAGCAAGATATAGCTTAAGAACCACACCAGGTGTCTTGTTACTAACGCTTCGATTAATAAATCCCAGTGTCCTATTCGCCTTATTATGAACATTCATGCATTGATCCTTTTGTTTTAAATTGTTACTAATCATAATTTCCAGATCCCTTTCGCAATCCGCAATCTCAACACCATCTAGCTCGTATCTTGTAACTCTATCATGACAATTAATCACCCAAACCAAAGCATATACATGTCCAATCCACGCTTGAAACAATCGAGGGACTCCACCTCCACCAAGACACGCGGAAACTGGTTCCACAAGTCAACAATCCTGTTACCAAACCATTATTTACCCATGTCTTTCCTAAATCCAAAACCTATCCAACTTATACCCATTGTTTCGCGTTCTGTCTCGTGCGTCTGGGATCATCCTGGACGTAGGTTCGAACCCTCATCACGGCCCTTGTGGATTTGTTCATTTGATGTATCACGTTATTGTGATTTCTGTGTGTATCTAATAACACTACCGCTCCTTGCCAACCATCGTCTTCCTGATAAAGGTACGTCTTCCTGATAAAGGTAAGGGAACTTTCCCATCATTTATCAATCTGTAAATTTCTAAATAATTTTCTTTCTTTAATGAAGATCTGTGGAACCAGCTATAGCTTTTGGGATTATCTGTAGCGAGTAGATTATCGAAATAATATACTTGCTCCAAACTCATTACTCTAATGAGAGAACCAAAGCTCTCATTAGCACTAACTACGGAACTCAAACCTTTTTTTCTTCCTGCAGTTAAAATTTCTTCCAACCTTTGGAGGACGGTGAGGTGGTGTATGCATATAAGCAGCGCTAGAGAGGTGAGTAATTATCAGTCTACGTTGAAGTGGGGCTTAGAGCAGACGCTTAAGAACACGCTATTGCTCGCCAAGTGTCACTAACAAACTTCTGTTTACGTAAGTAATAAGTATAGAAAAGGTTTGAGTTATAATTAATGTTAATGAGAGCTTTGTTTCACTCATTAGACTTTGGAGCGAGTATATAATAATGTGTATGGGATAATCTATTCGCTTCAAAGTATTAATGACAATTAAGAACTCAAAGGTTAGTTAAAAATAACTTCAGGTAAATGACGAGGGGGAACCTTTGATAAACCCTCGGCTTCCTGTCCCTTATCGAGGCCATATAGGTAGATAATAGGCATATTCAGGTAAATGTAAACTTAATTTTATCTATAAGCTAGGCAGTTTAAACATATAAATTTTATTTGTCCACCATAATTATAATTATTTTATAATTTTGGTCCGCTATCATTATACTTATTAATATTATCATAATAGTATAATAATACTATTATTATAGTAATACTAGTATAATAATACTATTATTATATTAGTATAAGCATGTAGTGCTTATAATATTAGTATAAGCATGTAGTGAATGAGATGAGTGGCGGGGAGAGCGGGCAGCTGGGTGGCCGTCATTGTTTACAAGTGGCGCCAGGAGGAGGCTGCGTGCACCCACCTGCAAGGTTTGTTCTCGCTGGGTGTCCTCCTCTTGCTGTCTTCTTGCACTGCTCTTACTCTCGGGTTCTTCTTGGTTTGTTCTCCATTTACTGTTTTCGTTACGGGTAAACAAATATTAACATATTTATTGTTAAATATTTATTAATTGCTGGCGGGTTTGGCTCCACTAGGCTGCAATATAAACATTTGCTGGCAAATGTTTAATTTAGATTGTATTGTATGTATACGTCTATACTAATCGCCGTTGACATCAGAGGCATCATTATTTGGTTGTGTACATTGTGTTGTATAAATTTGCTCCATAATCAGATAATTTTGTAATTCATTGTGTTGTGGGGACAGGAAGCCAGAGTTGCTTACACACTTCTATAACTTAATAGTAATTGGGATTAAAGTATAATCTCTAAAAAAAAAGTATAAATGATATAAAGTATAACGCATACGTTAGGCTTATATCAAGGTCATCCCCCCCCTTCCCTGATACGTACTACGTATCACACTCTACCTTAGTGACTGTATTATTAACTCGTCCAGATCTCACCAATGGTGTCTGTGTCCAGGGATCCACTATCTTTAATTATCCTAATTGCTCGACAAAAATCAGCAATCAAGACAACAAGATCCAGTTTCAGTCTCTGCTCCCTTACTAAAATTTATTTTACCCGAGAGCCATCACTAATGGCCCTCAGGTAAATATCTGGGGTTGATATCACACCAGAAGATATAAATTAGCAACCCATCCATCACTTTCCTGTAAAACCTCTGTGGCTCTATCATAGAAACAAAGTAAATTTGTTTCTCAGGATTTTCCAGATCATATAAATCATACTGTCAGTTGTTTGTTTACATTGTTTGGGGGGAGTTCATTTGGCAGTTTTGAAACTTGGATCTCTTTGAACCCAGCAGTAGTCTGTACTGGTCAGGGCAATGGAAGCAGTAGTTCACTGACAATGAATGCTTTTCTGATGGGGGATGACAGCTGATGCAACCTAGTAGATGGGAGCCTTCTCAGTGAGATTGCTTCAGGGAGCCATAAAGAGCTTTCCCAGAAATAAATGTCAAATTTATACACAGTAGTTAAATTTACCAAAATATTTTTCAGATTTCCAAATTATAGTCGACTAGCAGACATGGGTCGTCGCAAGTCAAAGAGAAAGCCACCTCCAAAGAGGAAGAATATTGAACCACTGGATACGCAATTTAATTGTCCATTCTGTAATCACGAAAAGTCATGTGAAGTTAAAATGTAAGTACTGCATAGTATTTGTATCTTCCAGTTGAAGGTAATATTTACTGCTTACCAATAGGAATTTTTCATTAATAAATTTATGGTCAACTTCAATTTATATACTTTATTATTTGATTTTATATTTTATAAACGTTTACAAAATTTCCTGAGCACTTAGCAGAGAGATATTCCTCATAGCCACTGACATTTGGGGAAATTCTTGCACATATGTTTTGGATGTATCAGCATCATGTATAATTTCTCCATTTTTTTCAGGAATAAACCAAGGCATGCTGGAAGAGTTTCATGCCGTGTGTGTCTGGAAGACTTCCAGTGTACTATTAACTACCTCTCGGAACCTGTTGATGTTTACAATGAATGGATTGATGCTTGTGAAACTGCAAACTGATCGATTCAGTTTGTGCATTTTTTTTTATGTTCATCTTAATTATGAAATACTGTAGTTGAGTTATACAATAGACTTGTTATAGAAATAAAGGAATTACTTGTCAGATTTTTCGAATTTCATGTGTATTGAGAATATAGCCTCATGTTTAGTATTGTCTAATTACAATATTTTATGAATGAGTGGAACAGATATTTCTATGAAAACTGTAAGTTTCAAAACTGGAGGGTACTGTAGTTACATACAGTCTCACTGGCTGATGCTGTATAAGATACACGATTTTAGTAATGTCAAAATACAAACTGTACATAGACATATCTTTACATTATAATGATTAAATGTACAGTATTTTTTTCATGCATACTGTAATGTAATACAGTAGTTTGTAAATTTGGCCATTACATTCATGTTTTCTTAACCCATTTAACCACAAATATTTGGTGGTTCTCACTTAGTCACATTATTCAATATGAATATACATTTCCATGCATCGAACATTTAAACAGTTTATATTATCTAAACATTCCACCAATGTGTCATACTGACATAAATCAAGATGTTAATAATAATGTTGCAACAGCTGACAAGCATTTAGATTAACTATCTTGTTTATAAGCTCATTTGCTCTTCACATGCACCCTTTCCCCACACTGTTTATGATTTATGAAAAGTTGTTTTGAGTTCATGTCCTAGTTTATGGTGTTTATTTTCAGTTGTCTGCTGATCTTTCTCTCTTAATTAATCTCTGTCCTCTCTACTATAATTTAATATACTGTATATATTTTTTCCCTCCACCTCACCTTAGTTCTGAACTGTATTCCT